AAAAAAAACTTAAAGGTTGCTGTAGTAAAGTTGGTCGGCAAATTTTCACCAAGTTACCATAATCTGAAGATTAACTGATATTTTTGTATGTGGCGACACCAGTACACAGATTCTAGTTCAGACAATTTTAGGAAGTTTTTGAATGCTGTTAAGGCATTTTGTTTGACTGAAGACAGGGAAATTTGTAAATAGGTAAGTAGATATTTCCTTTGTGTAGTGCTAATATGAATTTCTTTTCTTGGTCAATGTGTACATGGATACCAAGTTTGTACAATTCTTTGACTTGATATTTTGAATTTTTGTGCACCAAAAATTGCAACTACACAAAGCCAAAGTACTAAGTCAAAGAACTGCACAAACTCGGTGTCCATGTAGCACCAGTTATCACCAAGGGGCAGATGTAAATATATTTTTGGTAAAAGTATAGTTTAGGATACCCCTTGGCGATTTTGGGCGGTACATGGATACCGATTTTGTGCAATTCTTTGACTCGTTATTTTGGCTTGCAAAGCGGCGATTTTTGCGCCAAAAATCGGCGCTACACAAAGCCAAAATAACAAGACAAACAATTGATAAAACTCGGTATCCATGTACACATCGACTTATTTTCACTTTAAAAAAAAATCCCCGAATTGCACAAAAATGGCATTGCGCACTTCTTTGACTTTATCCATCCCCGAATTGCACAAAAATGGTATTGCGCACTCTTTTAACTTTATCCATGTACCTATTTAACGACCTATTTTTACTTAAAAAAAAAATCCCAGAATTGCACAAACTTGCATTGCGCACTCCCTTTACTTTGTCCATGTACACATCGAAATATTGGCTGATCTTTGGAATATGGTAACTGGCAGTTTGGCGACATTTTGGAGGCGATAAAGGTTACTACCTGGACTTTGGTAATAATGTGAGCAGTACTCAGTTCCGATTACGCATTATTTTGTGTGAGGAAATGAGAGATCATGAGGATATGTCATGTGATATTAATGGACGAATTACGGTTCTTTAATCGGAAAAGGGGGGAAATCGGGAAAAATCTGGAAATTTTTGTATTTAGCTTTATTCTGTGTTGTGTGAAACAGTGTTGGTTAATTTTTGGATCCCATGGCCGTATAAAGTGAATTCGAAATGGGTATTTAGTGGGATTGAAAGGGGTAGTAATAAGTGTTTTTTTAAGGTTGTTGTGAGATAGAAGTAAAGTATTGCTTATTAAGTTTATTAAGGTTTGGAGATGAAGGCAACATCTTTGAAAGTATGATTTTAAGATTGAAAGGCAGATTGCTTTATTGCGGAGGAAAAGAAAGTGTATCCGCCACATAATCAAGATTCTGAAGAAGATTAGGTAAGTTAGTATTTTTAATTATTTGAGGATATTATTTTTATGCATTGTTCTAAATGTAAGGTGGAAAAAGTAATTTGGTATTATTGGGAAAATTGTTATTAGCAATGATTTAGTTTAAAGTAATTAGGATTGTAAGGTAATTTTTATTAATTTAATGTATGTGCTTATTTATATTTTAAGTAGTGTTTTTTGAATTTAATTATATTTTTAATGAAATGATAGTTATTTTGTGAATTTTATGTTTGTAGGAATTTGGTATACGTTTAAGTTGAAGTAAACGTGCATGGAAATAATTTAAATATTTGACACTAAGTATTGTAAATTTGTAATGTTTGCGGTATGAATTCGTTGGTGACGTGTATAATGTAATAGATGATTTAGAGGTAAAAGTTTTTGGATATTTTATTTATTTTATATGTGGAAATGTTCATATTTGGAAAGGGTAAATACTTTTTCGCGATCAGGTAATTTCATATATGTTCTTTTTACCGGGTTTAAAGATTGAGAAAATTGTCATGTATTTTCGTGAAATTTTTCTAATTTATGAGAAAAAAGCAGTGTACATGGATATAGTGAAGAGTGTGCGCAATGCCATTTTTGTGCAATTCTGGGATGTTTTTTTTAAGTAAAAATAAGTCGACGTGTACATGGTTTATGTGTATGTGTTATTTTGAAAAACGTAAGGAGTTGGTATTGTGCACTTTTTCCCAATTTTGCAGTGAATATTTGTCATGATTAAGCAGTTTTGTTAGATAAAATTTAGCATAAGTGTAATTCGGCTAGTAGATTGTTGGAAGAAGTGTTCAGTAGATAAAAAGAAAAGAAACATGTCTTTACTCGTGAAGCGAAAAAAAAAAATAGAGGGTTGCTGTAGGAGAGTTGGTCGCCAAATTTCGCCAAAAATCGCCAAGTTACCATAATCCAAAGATCACGAAATATTTTAATTAAAAAGTCAAAGAAGCACCTTCTACATATAGGCAAACAAAAAATACAAAAAATAATTTAAAACCCAGAAAACATAAAAAGAAAAAAAATGTATAAAAGCACTACCAAAAGCAAATATGACTTACCATGATTTCAGTTCGCTTCGTACATCCAGAAGCCACTTAAAGATCAAAATATCAAACCATACTCAAAACTTTTTTTCAACCAGACTCTTTCGGTTCTTTGGAATATGGATAACAGGTAGCTGGCGCATTCTGTAAGTCGAAAAGGTTACTAGCTAGACTTAAAGCATGTAATGGTAAGTCAAGAGTGTGCACAATGCCATTTTTGTGCAATTCTGGGTGTTTTTAAGTGAAAGGTCGATGTCATGAAACCGTGTATGTGCAATATCTTAAAACGCGGCAAGCAGTTGGATTCTGCACTTTCGGAAAAAATGTCGAGTTAAAAAAAAAAAAAAAAAAAAAAAAAAAACCTTTACTCGTCAAAACAAAATGGCGTCCAAATAAAAACTAGAGATTGCTGTAGAAGGGTTGGTCGCCAGGCGATTTTGGGTGATCGAACGCTTCACATAGTGACCATTGAACCTTTCTTTACAAACCCATTAAATCCTCTAAGGTTTTTATTCGACGACGCATATCCGTTCTCATACGGGACAAGATAATGGCTACTAAGAAACTTCATTTACACACAGGCAATTAGCTCTTTTCCCCTTTCACTCTAAATCGTATAAAAACTCATATTAATCTACTATGCCATTCTACCGTCTAAAAATCAAACCAACAACACCAAAAAAAACGCTACAAACATCCCATGATTCAAAATTTCCCAGAATGCATCTGATTACGTCACAGTAGGGTTTCCATAACATCCATATCAGGCTACCATAAAGAAACAACAACTTGGCGAAATCAAACAACAATTGCCCTAATACAAGGGATACCTTAAGGTCTTCTACATATTTTACTTTATATGCAAAAGGGCATTCTTAATGCATTTTCTCATTTGTAGACATGATGCATGTATTTGACTCAAGTGGGTATTGTCATAGAAAGTATATTAAAAAAAATATCATCAATATGATCCTGTAAACAACTGGTAAGATTTTTTACATACAGTGTTCACAAAAGGATGGGACACTTGTGCTTTACAAAAGGAAACTGCAGTAAAATAAATTTAAAAAAACATGTAAAAAATTTTTGTGGGGGTGTTTCATATTTAAATTTAGTAACAATTATTACATACATACATTTCTCAAAATATTAAAATATTAATTAATAAAAATACAATGTTTAGAACGGAGCAAAAAATGGCTCACGTATAAGTGATGGGACACTTACTTTTATCCATCAAATTTTATCCAAAAATTTTACTTTTTAAAGGTTTTAATATTTTGTTGGATTTCCTTTTACTTTTAAAACATGATTTAATCTTCTTGGGATGGGATTCGACTAATTTTTTTTGTGATTTCTGGAGTGATTTTACCCCATTCTTCTTGAAGCACCGATTTTAATTGTTGTTTGAAAGAAATGGTGTGTTTGTTTGCGAATTCTTTAATTCCATTTCTGCAAATATTCTGTATGGGATTTAAGTCTGGAGATTGTGGGTGGTGTTTTATTATTTCAGGACAGTTATACAGCAGCCAGAGTCTAATGTTCAAAGCAGTGTGCGTGGGGTCATTGTCCTGGTAGAATTTAAAATCGTTATGAAGGTTCAATTTTCGCGCTGAAGATTTCAATTTTGATTTAAAATGTCAATTTATTTGTACTGATCCATTATACTGTCAATAAAAACAAGATACCAACTCCATCGGACGACATAACACCCCCATACAGTAACTCCTCCTCCACCATGTTTTACTGTTGGCCCAAGTTCTGTTTTCGAAATTCTTCCCTGGGTTTTCTCCACACCAAGATTCTACCGTCAGAACCAAATATATTAAATTTACTCTCATCAGCAAATATACTTCATTCCAGTAATCAGAATTCCTATTTATGTTGGATTTTGCGAAAGCCAGTCTGAGTTGTCTATTCTTTTCACTCAAGAAGAATTTTTTCCTGGCTGCTCTACCGTGATATCCAGCATATCTAATTACTCTTATAATAGTCTCAGGATTTAACAATTACTCCATATAATGCTTGTAAATCAGACAGCAACTATAGGAGCACTCATTCTTGGAGTTTTTTTTTAATATTTCCAACGATAATTCGCTTTATTCCTTTGGATAGCTTTGATGGTCGGCGAGGTCTTCTGTTATCCTGAATCATATGATTCTTTTTATATCGTTTAATGATATTGTAAACTGTTTAATGACTCAAGTTAACTGTTTCAGTAGCTTCTCTAATAGATTTTCCACGTTCAATATGCAAATTAATAACTAATTTTTTTAATTTCAGGCAAAGTTTCTTTTCGTTTAGCATTCATGGCTGCACAGAGCTAAAAAACACAAAAATTCCAAAACAAACTGGAGAAAAAAATACTGCAGACGATTTTATAAATTATTTGCCAATTGCTTTTGAGTAAAAATATAAAACCCAAAAAAATATTTTTATTGTAGTACATAGTATATCAATGGTGTCCCTCACTTATGTGAGCCATCTTTTGCTCTCTTTTAAACAATTGTATTTTTATTAAATAAATATTTTAATATTTTGAGAAATGTATGTTATGTAATAATTGTTACTAAATTTATATCAAAACACACCCACAAAAATTTTTACATGCTTTTTTAATTATTTTTATTACAGTTTCCTTTTGTAAAGCACAAGTGTGCCATCACTTTTGTGAGAGACTGTATATCACATTCAGCTGATTTCTCAGTTACAATAAGATATTTAATTATTATCATTGTATACATATTAGCATGCAATTTAACATTTATATGATTGCACAACAGTAAAGTACCTCATTGTGAAAATATGCAACATATATCACATTTAAACAGATTTTATCACATTTTAGTAGGTCCTCAAAATTCTCCACTATTTTCCTACAACCCTGCTTTATATATATATATATATATACAGTACAGTGTAAAATCTAGGACTCTCCGCTCAAAAAAAAAAAAAAAAAAAAAAACTTACAAAAGATAAGAATGGAGAACTTAATCCTCTACAAAAGAAAGCAGATGTACTATAAATGTGAATTTTTTCTGGACTGATTGAGATTCCTGTATGTCATTTTCAGATACCTACAGGTTAGGAAATCACAGGGGACAAATGACAACACACTGATGTTGGCCACACTCTCATTTGAGTCTCTTGTGTGGCTGTGGCAGGTTAGCATCTTTCTCTACGATCTACACAGGTGCAGCTCTGAACATGCCACGTTTGCATGTCATCAGTGCATGTCTGCAGTCCTTATGATTTTAAATCGCAGACTTTGTCCTGTATAAGAAGAATATAGGCACCGAAATCCACTACTACCTAGACCCTAGAGTATAACAGCCCTTAACAAAACACTATACTTTAAGCAATGAGTTGATAATGTCTCATAATCTAATAATATCAGAGCTGCATATTTTTCACTTGCAAATGACTACTAGCCACTTTTACATGCATACACCACATTTCTGACCTATGTGATCATTTCAGTTCCGATTAAAATCCAGTGTTGTTTAACAGCTTTAGAACACAGTTTAATCCTGTGGATAATCATTTAAATGAGTGTGCACATGTATAGTTAAATCACTTTTACGAGAAAATGATTTGCAACATACCTTACATTCATATGGATCTTCACCTGAATGGACAAGCATGTGTTTGTTTAATTCGGGTTTTCATCCACAGAGAACCCGTTGGCGCCGTTGCATTTTTACTCGCCAAGCTTGGGGCATCTCGTTTGTTTTGATGGATGAACACAGCTGTATGTCTTCTAGACCTGTATATGGTTTCAAACATACACCAGATTCATTTAATTTAATACTTGTTTGTTGAGAAATGTTTTCAGACACATTGGTTTGTCATTTCCATGTATATGCTGCATACGTCCAATTAAGAGGTAATACAGTGAAAATGCTTTGCCAGATACATTACATTTATATTGTTTTTTACTTAAATTGGCTTATTTATGTTTGCTTACGTTCTGTTGAAGAGCAAATGATTTTCTACATCTATCACATTTAAGTGATTTTTCAGCCATATGAGCAAAGACATGTTCTTGTAACTCCCCTACATAATCAAAAGTCTTAAAACATATATCACATTCTAGCTGCTTCTTGTCTTTTTCATTTTTACCCACTTCTGTTTCCTCAGTTCAGTGGTCAAACAGATGCTTTGTAAATCTCGAATGCTGTGAAAATGACTTGTTACATATATTACACACATGTCTTTTTAAGCTATCTCGAAGTGCAAAGGATTTCTCATATATATTACATTCATACGGCTTTTTCACCAGTGGGAGTATGCAGATGTTGCCATACAGAGCCCATGTCAGTAAACGATTTGTAACATATCACACATTCATGAGGCTTCTCATCTGTATGCATATGCATATGCTGGCTCAAAGCCTCCTTACAAGAAAAGGAGCTGAAACAAATATCATCCTCATGTGGTTTTTCAATTTTTTGCTTATCCAAGTTTTAATTTTCCCCATTATTTTGATCACTATCATGTTGCTTCTCACCTAAATGAGTATGCATGTGTTTGCTCCAGCTAGATTTGTCTGCATATGGCTTATCACAAACATCACACTTATACCGTTTCTCGCCTGTATGAGAAAGTAGGTGTCTATTTAAGTTAGTTTTTTGTGCAAATGACTTATGACATATATCACAAACAAAAAGTTTCTCACTTGTATGCTTAGAAATATGCTGCTTCAAAGCATTAAACCAGGCAAATGTCTTTTGACATATATTACACATGTGAGATTTATCACCAGTATGAATATTCATATGTCGCTTTAAGCCAGTTCTTCGTGAAAAAGTCTTGCTACACATCTTGCATTCATATGGCTTTTCACCTGTGTGAGTATAAATATGTGTCTTTAAGTCAGTTTGGCATACATATGACTTGGAACATATATCACAGACATGGGGTCTCTCACCTGTGTGAATGAGCATATGTGCCTTTAAATGTTGTTGTAATAGAAATGATTTCTTACACATATGACATTCATGAGATTTTATCCCTATATGAATATGCATGTGAGTACTCAAGCTGCGTTTGTGTGTAAATTTCTTCTTGCAGATATCACATGTATGCTCTTTCCCACCTATATGAACATATGCATGTTGCTTTAAGGAACACTTCTGTGCAAATGACTTGCCACATACATCACATATGTATGGTTTTTCGCCTGTGTGGATACGAACATGTATCCTTAAAGCATTTTTTCGCACAAATGCCTTGGAACATATTTCACACTTATGTGGTTTTTCACCTCTGTGGATGAATATGTGCTTGTTCAAATCACTTTTCTGCCGAAATGATTTACCACAGGTATCACATGTATGTGGCTTCCCTGGTTGAGTATGCATTTCCAAATTTTCGCAATATCTTAATGCAGACTTTTTAAATTTCCAACCTTTGTTCTTAAAATGGGGAAAGTGAAGAATCAAACACTGCTTGGCGCGTTTTTAAGAAATGCACAAACTCGGTATCCATATACACATCGACCTATTGTCACATAAAAAAAATCAGAGACTTGCACAAACTCGGCATTGCGCACACCCTTGACTTCGTCCATGTACACATCAATCTATTTTCAATTACAAAATCAAAGGAAAAAGTACTTTTCAGCTGACAGTTTTCTTACTAATCAGGTGATGAAAATTTATTCCGTTTACTTGAACAAAGATCACATTTTTTCGCTTATTTACCAAACATCTATTTCCTTTAATTAATCATTTTCGATCCTTAATTTTTATTTAATGAATTGTTTCACTTCATTATTTTTTAATTTGCGCAATGTATAAGCACCCTGTAAAAAAAAAAAAAAAAAGTTGGTCAGCGCTAAATCCCCAAACGCGCAGGGAGGTCACGTGACATCCAAACTACGTTAAAGATGATGTCACATCAAAGATACGCCCCCAGATTCGCTGCTTCTGACGTCAAGGGAGCGTATTTCCAAACCCTAGAGCTACTAGAGCCTTTATAGTAGCCTTAACCAAACCCTACCCCACTTTTCGAATATTTGACGTCACGGAAATATCGACTAGTTTCACCTGGCAAGACGGCGTACTCCACTTTTGAATACTACGGCGCACTTTCGAAAGAATTGTGGTTCTGAATAGTGTGTTTATGTGCTAATTGTGAGATTTTCGCAATTTAAATTATTATGAGTGGAAATTTACGCAATATTTTCAGTAAGGCTCCTCTAAACCAGGCTGAATCACCAACGTTTCTCTCTTGGCGAGGGAGTGAACGCGCTGCCAATTTTGGCGCGTTTATCGCACACGCTGGCTGAATGTCTGCTGTGTTTTTTAAAGATTTTATTTTATAGACGCGCGGCGGTATTCAGCGCATATAAACTTTTCGGATAATTTATTAATTCTCGAATAGTATATAGACGTTTTCACTTAAATAAAAATTTCGCGTATATTTTGTAAACATATTCAAAATAACTTATTCTTTAGATGTTTCAGTTTCGTTAGCAGACTATAATAATAAGATATGAATAAAAAACTTTCAATAGTGTCAAATGGGGAAACAGTTAAAGCGTAGAGTGTGCAAATAAATTTATTTTAATGACATTTTAACAAAAATTTCCATAAAAACACACTGTAAATTCATACTAAAAAATAACTTAAGAATATGTTGTCATTTAAGTCTGAGGTATATGGAAATAATGTGTGCAAGACTCTGAAGAAAAGAAACACTTTCTTTTAAATGTGTGAAATATTTCATAACATATATGGAAGAAGAAGAAAGTACAGCATTCTGTGTTTTGGATGATTTTCACCAAATGTAATATAAATACGAACTAGAAACCGTAATAAAAAGTCCTTCCTCTTCAATCAGATCACCTTTGTGTTGCATTGTATTTGTAATACTTCTAAAAATCCAGTTTTTACCTAAATTAAAAAAACAGTTATTCCATAAAAGATAATAACTTTGAACGTATATAGAATGAATTTTGTAATTTGAGTTATGTTACAAAATAATTCATAGTTTATATATTTTATACTAATAATTTAGATAAAACCTGTCCAATTTAAGAATGTGTGTTAACCACATTCTTAAATTGTAAAAGGACGACTTAACCACATGTAATTCATTTCAAAGCATAAAAGAAAGCTTATTTTTTATTTTACACAGCAACAGCATTTTCATGCAGTCAAGTTTTTTTAACTGCTAGTTATTATACATAATACTTAATTTTAAACCCATTTATTAGAAAGCATAACTAAGAAACTTCTGTTTAAAGCACCACAGTGATTGCAAAGAATGTCGTTAAATTTACAAAAGTATTGAAGATATATTGAACAGCATTATAACAAGAAAGTACTGTACAAAATATGTAAATTTAGCAATAACTTCTTTTTAATATTTGCATAGTTTCCTCCAAATGAACCTTAATGGGAAGTTATCTTGCGAAAATTTAAAAGTATTAAAAATGGCCTCTATTTAAGATGTAACTGCATTTATAATTATTTTGTAATTGCGAATAGATTATATTATTGCAATTAGATTATGCACTTACAACATAATTGCATAAAGTAATGAAATTAAGAGTTCACCAGATACAATGTAATATAATTACAATGCAATTACCTAAATTGTAATTATAATCACTTATTTCATACCACAATATTATTACAATCACAATGTAATTTAAATTGGGTACTATATTTGCATACCCTCCACTCAAAAGGAGGTACTGATAAGCCTGGAAGTTATTATCAACAAAAAGCCTGTTCAGGACAGTTTGATGACAATTTCCACCGGGCGAAAAGTACATTCTTAAGCCCAGGCAAATCATGACAATAAAAATCATTTAGTCTTATGATTCACTATATTTTAAACCCTAAATTTGAATTCTGCACCAAATTATTTACCTATATTTTAACATACTTTATGAATTATTAGAAGCGATATGGCAAATATCTTCTAAAAATAACTGTAAAATATTTGTATCCATTAATTGATTCAGATACACACTTTTATTATTTAAGTATATCAAAATAACAGTTTCATGTTCCTGAAATACAAAAATTATGGAAAAAGTTAAAGTAATATTCTTAGAAGCATATGATATTAGTCACCAGATGCAAAATTATAGTTAATTTTTTGCCTAAATACAATTTTATTACACAGTAGTCAAATGTGTAACTTAATAACATGTTATATAAAAATTAATGATAATAAGTTTATCAGAAATGAATTAATTCTGCAAATAAAACGTTTTGCACTTGAAAATTACTTGAAACTTTTCTACACCTTGAGGTCTAGGGAGAGATTTATATTTGATATAACAATTAGAAATTTTGTTATAACTTCAGTTGGACCAAACACCTTCTCTCTATATATATGCATCACTAAAGAAATAAATAAAATTATAATGCTTAAAAAAGCAGATATACCATACCAGTTTTTTTCCCCCCTTGTTACCCTTTACATTGAGAAATAAACAAACAGTACAGACACTGAAAAATATTATCCTTTTGAAATTCTGTTTAAAATGAAGAAACACACACCATCTTTTTATCCAAGCATTACACATCAAAAACAGATACACATACCAATTTATTTTCACTAGCCCTTTATACTGAGAAATAACATTGCCAGTATAAAAATGCAAAAGAATTATCCTTGAAAATTTAGATAAAATGAAGTAACACAATGGGAAAATTTATGCACACGGACATCTTTTTTCTATTGCATGTTGTCTGACATGATCCACAAGTGCCTAAAAATGTACCCAAAGAAACGCATTTCAATATTAACAAAAAATTGTTTACAGATTAAAATTCATTCATTTCATACCAGTATTATAAAGATCATGCATGAAACAAAATCTGCTTTCCCATACTTTAAGTAAAACTTTTATACTGGAAAATAGACTATATTTCTATAATTAGAAACAAGAAAATACTAATTTGAATGTTCTGCATTCATTTCTAAATCTCCATTGCCAAATTGTATAATACTGTGATTATAAATAAACTTGCACAATCCTTGCAATTATTGAAGTCAGATTATATATATTTTGTCTCACACTATTCAATTTATTCTATTGACTTCAGATGTCAATGTCAAAATTCTGGAAGTATTTTAACCAAGAAACAGTAGTGGGCACCGTGCATAAACAACTCATCTAACTTTTTAACAATAGTGATTATAAAATAAAGAAAAAATTATATATCATTCCAACGATATTGCAACTATAGTATAATGTTACATATTATCTTTAGCAAACATTCAGATTTTATCTTGACTTTCCAAATTATTATTTATTTTTTAATAAATTTCAATATGCTAATGATTTTCATGTTTACATTAGTATAAATTCCACAATTAGCACAGGAAAACAAAATCCGCGCTTTATATTAGAAGAGAAATTTCTTTTCCATATTCAAAACATCTACATTGGCGATGTTTTTGGCGACGGGTACATTAACCCTAGACTAATTAATTATAGCTATTATTACAGAAATTAGCAGATACTCAGGTTATTGTACACAAGAATTTCACTTTACTTGCACATTATAAACATCAGAGAAGATATAAACTCTAAATGAAGGCGTAATTAACATTATACTTACTAAGCAAAGTTCAGCGCCTGGACCAGGTTTCCAATTGTCTCTTCGGCAATTATTTACCCATATTTTTCTTCTTTCTTCATTTTTAGGAAATTTTACCAATGTATGACCTTTCCGTGAATGATTTGAACAATTAATAGCTGTACATCCGCCCATTTTACACAAAAAAAACACACAAAATTGTTGCACCTTAACCACTCAGCCGCCATTAAATCTCCCACTTGGGAGCGCGAATGCCTGATGATTCAGCCTGGTTTATAGGAGCCTTAATTTTTAGTGAATGGTTATTGTTTATCGCCGTAGGGTATTTGAGGAAAGAGGAGAATAATTCACTGCTGATGTATACATTAACAGTATGAAAAATCTGGAAGGTGATACTCGGCAATAAATGTGCTGCATTTCATCGCAAAATTCAGCGACGCCAGTAAAAACAAACGAAAGTGTTCGAAAAAATTATCCACATCTGAAGCCACTATACAAAAATTGTATGTGTGCCAATACAGATATTTTAATTTAAAAAAAAAAAAAACACTTGCAGAAAACTTCAGATCAAGGAATAAGAAAGAATTGCAGTGCCTCTCTGTGCTTAAAAACTACGAAGCATTCTGCAGACTTTCGTGCCAAAATCAAGGTTGACAAATAGATTAATAAATGTTTCTTTTAGTTTAGTATTTATTTCAAAATTATTAAAATAACTTGGAACAGTTGTTTAATTGCTTAAAAACAGCAATAAAGTTCATTTATAAAGATATACAAGGAACTTCATAATTCATGTGCTTTGGTGAACAACTGAAATTTACTAAATTACCTAACTTTATAACATTAAATATCTTTGTAACTGTGGTATTATGCTCTGTTTTATAAAAGCTTAACTACTTATATTCATTTGTTATACATTAAAATATTTCTGATTTATTTACTAAATGCGTAATCAATTATCAGGATTACTAAATGTATTAAGAATTTCCATACATGCTTGTGCAGTGTGAATGCATGTTTGTGTAATGAACTTTGATTTTCATGAACGAAAAAGAAATACAATCTCCGAATAAGTACTTTTTTTGTTTTCCAGTTCCTGTGTTTAGCTGTAAAAGTAAATTCACTTCAAGTATGTGTCTGTGCAATTTTGACGATGTAAATGCTGAAATGTATGTATAGTAAAAACTCAACAAAAAAATATCCGGAAAGCTCTTGAAATTTTGGATAGTCCGAGCATATAAAAAATGAAATACTTGTAATAAGTGAATGGAAGAATAAACTACTAGTCTAAAATCATAAAAACAGTTCATCTTATTTGTATCAACTTGACTATCAAAAGCCAATATTTAATATTATGCACGATTTTGAAAAAAAAATGTATGCTGCTGATCTTTGGAATATGATAACGGGTGATTTTTACAATGGTTGTTATGTGGATTAAGACTGCAAGTTGAGACTTTAAATATGAACAATAGTAATCTGAAAATTTGAAGTAGTAATTTTATATCCAACAATCTCTGCCAAATAACTTCCATGTTTTAAGTAATTAAAAATATATTTTTAACCACTTATTATTAATTTATAAAGTACATTCTATAATTTAAATTTTACTTTCATCTATTTTTAATGTTTGCCATTATAAATTTTATACTACTTTTTAAGATTTCATAGTTGCTAATTAAACTTCCTTTACAATTTATTTAGTTATTTTATGTAAGAAAGGGATTTATGTGCAACAGATATACA